AGTTCGTTGAAATACAACGGTTGCAAATCGCCAAAAATGGCCGCTAAATCCAAAAGCCCTTGAACTCATTTAATCATTGTTGCTTTATACCAGAAATGCATAAAAGCTAAAAGAAATGCAGTGTTAGGACTAAAATACTTATTATTGCTGGGGAAAATGACAGCCTACTGTGAAATTTGAGCTTAAAGATGCAAAATCTTTTTCTTTCCCACACACTTACATCAGCTTGGATATGAGTACACAGGTTCAACGTATGGCCTTCTGGAAGATTACCAGAGCACCGGAGCTGCCTGCCAACAAAGCCGCCCTGCTGTCATTCTTCACTACACACCTCTTTAATTATCCTTAACTGGCTTAAAGTTATTTCCCTTTGTTAATGCATTGTTGAATGGAATAGTTTAATAATTACAAGCTTCAGTGTACGTGTTCCAATCTCAATGAAACTTCACGTGTTTGATAACAGTCCCACCCTGAACACGTCTACATGACAATATTCAGACATAGTGATAGCGCCACATACTGATAACAGGAAGTATAACGTTTTATACTTTCATGTTCTACTCCTCGCAGGATGATCAGATCCACCTGAAATTTACTTACAAAATGCAAAACACATTGTTGATGATATGTGTTGACTGTGGTGAGGGGGCGTGTCTGTGGGGTGGCTGGAAATTTTGATGGACCGCCACAAAACACGAATTCGCTGTAATTTGAGTGTACATTGTCCAATCGGCTCCACACTTCAAATGCTTGATAACAGTCCCGCCCTGAGCACGTGTACATGACAATATTCAGACATAGTGATAGCGTCACCTACTGGCAACAGGAAGTAAGCGCTGTGTGGCGATTTTGAGCTGATTAACGGCAGATTTTCATGTTGTGGTCCGCACGTGTTACGACGGCAGGCGACGCGGCTGCAGCACGCCCCAAGTTGCGTGGAGTGTGAGGTCCCGCGCAACGCTGCTTGCACCTTTAAATTAGTTTTTATTTAGCTTTCGTCCGTGAAAAAGGTTCGTTGACGAATATTTTTCGTCATAGTCTTCGTCAACGAAATTAACACTGCCACAGAATTCAAAATGGCCAACTTTGACGGCACACCACAGACACGCCCTTCAACGTACAGTCTCAAATAGCAACTTTTAATCAGGAATGTTTTCTAACTGTACTGACCAATTATAAAGTAGATCCGATTCATATTAATAACTAATTACGTTTAATGGTCTCCGCACAGTGATTTACACTGCCACCAGAGAGCCACCCAGTGGCGTGTTTTTTATCTCCTTTTTAAGTGAGCCTCAGGGAGCCATGGGCAAGCATCGTACCAAGTTTCATTTAAATCACATGTGCCGATACGGAGATAAAAACTTCTTAATTTTAAAGAGCGCCACCTTGTGGCGATGGCTTGCAATTGTGCACGATGCCTAAGGAAGACATGAGGAACTATGGACCTAAGTTTGGTGTCAATCGGACATACCAGTGTGGAGAAATGGTCCACTTCCTTTTTTGACGAAAAATGTACAGGAAGTGCTAATTTTATAACGTGCTTATTTTTTTAAATTTCAAAAATGTTCAAATTACTTTTTTTGCCAGGGCGGTCCCCAGGTGGTAGGTGAAGAATTTCGTGCGAATCGGACAAAGCGTGTAGGAGGAACATGAAAAAGTAGTTTAAGGACATTTTGCGCTCAAACGGAAAAGAAATTATAGGCGGAAGTGTGCGCGGCCTACATGGAGAGATTCAGCTCCATTAACCGAACACGTGGATATAAGTTTTTTGAATGTGCGACAAACTATGCAGAAGTTATTAAGTAACCAACAAGTGAAAATACTTTCCTCAATAGTAGCGCCACCTAGTGGCCGACCCGAAAAAGACACATAGAATATAAAAAATTTCACCAGGCTTTACATCTTTGCCAAATAAAATTTAGTTTTCGTATATGTTCAGGGGGGCAAAAATGCGCTAAAAATAATAGGGAAGAAGAAACATAGCAAATACAATAGGGACCTCCAGCGGTTGCTGGCTCAGTCCCTAATTATTTAGGGAAAAAGCTATCCAAACCTACCTGGCCCAATGTATAAAAAATAATTGCGCCCTTAACCTAAAAACTGGTTGTGCCACCCTCGGCATAACAACTGCAATCAAGCGTTTGCGATAACTGGCAATGAGTTTCACATCGCTATGGAGGAATTTTGGCCCACTCTTGTTTGCAGTTGCTTTAATTCAGCCACACTGGAGGGTTTTCGAGCATGAACACGAACCCGGGTCGCTGCAGCAAGGACTCAGCCTCGATACGTGGTCGCCAGCTCTACCGACTGAGGTTATCTTTGTCTAATATTAAAATTGGTTTGATGATCTGAAACATTTAAGTGTGAAAAATATGCAAACAAATAAGAAATCAGGAAGGGGGCAAATACTTTTTCACAGCACTGTATATATATATATTGGACAAATTAAAGTTCTGACATGGTGATGGCGCTAGAAGTCACTCAGCCACCAGAACACTGTGGCAGCAAAGAATACATCCTTGAGCAGTCAAACCGCAGAGGTTCACAGCCACACAAAACTTAAAGCCAGAGTCATGTGACCCATGTTACACACACATATTTTTACTTGCGCAATTTTTAGTGTAAGATGAAAAATGAATTAAAATCGTAATTAACCGTCTGTCTGAATCAGACACACAGGTTTAAACGGTGTGATGTCCCGGCATACACACTGTACAGTAACTCCTGCTGCAGCTGTGTGTTCCCTCAAAGGATGTGCGAGCTTGCGGCTTTCACAATAAAAGAAAATCCTGATTAGGCTGGATGATATTTAACTTATTTAAATGTTAAAAACTCCTAGTTTCTCCAGAGAAGAAACACATTTTCGTTCTTCACCTACTGCCTTTAATTTATTTTTACCAGCTAATTTATATAAATATTTTTTTTTTCCCGCAGGTACCCGACCCGGTGCAGTGCTTGATTCAGATCAGATCAGAATCTGTTTAAACGGTCAAAGCAACTGCATCCCTAAGGCATAGTGCTTCTCAAAACATTCCTGTTCAATGATCTTCGGATTAGTAGCTGTATGAAGTACACTACTCATCAAACAGAAGCACAAGTCTGCCATCTAGTGGCGGATATATGGCATGTGCAGCAGTCAGACTGAGGATGTAGAAACTTAAATCTTCACTTGACCAAAAAGCATCTGATCATTTTATGATGCAGTAAGTGAATACATTGAACTTTAAATATATTTATATGTAAAGATACATTGATTTGTGTGATTCAATCAAGGTTTTCACTACTTTTTAATCACTCATATGGTCACCAACAGATTTTTGGTTTCCCAAACAAGTGTAAGAATGCGTCTCTTTAATCAAATCTCTTGTGGTAATACTATTTCATTAATACATACAGTATTTTGTGGAAACATTTTATGAATTCACTTACAATTACAGTTGCTCAAAAGTCCTAAAGATGTTATAGAAACAGGATTTGTTCGGATTTTCCATGTCCATTTTATTCATTTCAAGTTACTTACGTGTGCAAAACATTAAATCTGCTTTTACAAAATGTCTTAAAACTTGTACGCAGCTCCTGAACAAGAAATCAAACATCTGCCCGTCACTCAACCCAACATTAATAGGTTTACAAGGCTCTAGCTATTACTCCAGGCTACTTTGCCGCAGTGGCACGTGATGCCATAACCCCAAACAAATATCACAATCAACAATTAAGTGGTGCACTGAAGTAACACACACACAAATAATTGTTCAAATAAACTCCTCTTTTACTCACTAACCTACCTCCTCTTGCTGATTAATGGATGTATCCAGAGATGAGACTGCTCTGTTAGGCCCTGGCAGGGTCTCTATTTATAGAACTCTATTTAAGAGGTCAACATGAAAGCAGGAACAGGAAATCTGTTAGAGCTGAACTGCAGCTCATCCACTGAAACAAAGCTTGTATGATCTTTTATCTTTTACTCCTATAGAGTTGGCCCTTATTGTTTCATAAAACAGTTTCCACATCTTCCACATATTTCACTTTATTTTAGGTTACTATATGACCAACAACTTGCATTACATTGACAGGGGTGCTGTGTTCATACAAGACACCTTCCATCTGACAAACAAAAGCAAATATCATGCGTTAGAATCATGGTTACATCACATAGTTTAAGCTGGCTTGCATAGTTTTCATGCCAGCACACACAGGGAAACTCTCCTTTTGATAGGGCTCGCTGTATGATGACATTTCTTTTGTTTCATGTGTGGGGGGAAAAATATGACAAAATATCACACCCTGTCACCGAGAAAACAAGGTAATGTCTGGTTTTGTTTCACATTTACATCTTTTATAATTAAATTAAAATAAAAGGGCTGCCTATCAGTGTTTGTGACGACTTGATTTGTCGGAGTAACAGTCTGAAAATCAAACAGGTTTCAATAAACAAATGTTTGGTATTTTTACTTAATTGTGTCACAAAATAGTTTTTTTCTTAATCAACTATATATTTGATAAACCTGTGAAGTATGACCTTGATGTGGATGCCCCTCGCTTCATGCCAAAGTGTCACTTCCAGCCAGTTCAAGTAAACAACCTTCTCTCAGCCTCTGCTGCAACCGATTACAGCTGAGTGTAGGATGTTTACATGCACTGAGTCTGAACAACTGATATTGGGGATATAAGCTACCAAAGTTATGGCTCAAACACATGACCTACGGGGCCTAATTAGTAAATGTTAATACAACCTGCCCAGACTATTAAGTTTGCAGAAGAAGCACACGGCACATTTACCTGGCTCCTCCATTTTGGTGGAGCTGGAGGCAGTCGGCAGCAGTAAACATCAGACTGAAAGCTCTGCGGATAGACAGCTTCCAGTCGGGGATGTTTACAGCCCCAAACTACCAGTCGAAGACGACAAACGTGCCCAGCCAGAGACAAAGTCACAATGTTGACAAGTAGTGGAAAATCTAGACAGTATAGGAACAGGACTCAAAAGTTGAACACCTTACCATATCTTTTTTTTAAATTTTGACATTTCCATCAAGTTTGCTAAAAGCTGTGTGGGATTCTTCCTGCAGGTGTAACTCGGTAAGGACAGGAAACTGTGTAAAATGGCCATCTGACCATGATGCCTGTTGTGAATCCAGATCCCAGTGTCAAAGGTATTAGTATGTGTAGTCCAGCATTTTCCTAAAAACTGTAGAAGAAGAGAAGTTAGCATGACCTCATTTACATTACACTGGGTAACCACACTGATGCTGAGGGCAAATTTCAATGACAACGTACACAGATATTCAACTGCAAGCTCACTGCCAAGCACAATGATTTATGAGCCACTGCGATGTGTTTCTATGAATTATGAGCCAATTTAAAAACTTTATCTGGACTCACTGCACTGCTTCGCAAACATTAACCAGCTAGCATGATACGTTGTATTAACTACCAGCACGGGTTGAACGACATTAGCCACAACAGCAGGATTTGGTCCCACAGTTATCAGACTACGTTGCAGTGTAACGGTGCTGTAATGTCAGTGAAGTTACACAGCTGGGAAACATTCACTGGTGCAAGGCCAGCTACTGTGCCCTATCCTAAAAAGCTAACTTAAATAGCGAGATAGCCTTTAGTAACGAGCGTCAACTGGCGTGAGTGAATTACTATCGCGAGCGAACCGCCTAAAGTAACTTTGTCCCGTCAGGCAGCCTGCCAAAGCTAACAATGTAATATGGTAACTGTTAGCATTAGCTCCGGTTAGCCAACGACCTAGGCTAGCTAGCTCGCTGACATAGCTAGCTTCCGTTAGCTTGTCTGTGACCCTAACCTTCTGCTGTCTGACGTTTCCTTACCCGCTAATAAAACGAGAATTCCCTGACGACGGTAGGTGGACACCCACTGCGATGTTTTAGTTTGAAGTCTGAGTCGAGTTGGACATGTTCTGTCCTGTTCTGGACAGCCTGTTAAGTTTCCTTCCGTTTTCATTCACTTGTCTTTATTTTGACCTTTGGTTACTCGACACCAACATTGACGTCATTGTCATAGCAACAGAGCCCCGCCTACCGTGAGCCTGGAGACCGACCGACAGACAGACAGACAGACAGACAGACAGACAGGGAATATTAGCATTTACATTAAACACTTGACATTAACAGCGTCTTACACTGAATGCAGTGGGTTTATATAGAACGGTAAATGCTTAACAGAGGTAAGAAAGTAGCACTGTGTCAGCTTTCAAAGGCAAAAACTTAAGACAAGTTCAAGTCACTTCACTTCTTAAGGCAAAGTGGAGCAAGCAGTTGACTGTTAACAGTGGTGGAAGAAGTAATGACCTATCTCACATTGCTAAGTGAAAGCAGAAATACAACAATGAAAAAAATACTCTGTTTCAAGTAGAAGTTTTTCATTCAAAGTCAAAAGTAATAAAGTAAGAACTCGTTATGCAGCTCTTCTATTGCTCTGCTCCTGTGAGTGTTATATTTTATAATCCTGGATTATTATTTCTGATGAATAAACATATTCAGCATGTTAATGTAGCCATTGAGGTGGAGCTAATTTTTTTTATACACGTGTGTGTATATATGCACGTATTGTTGTATATTTTATATACTGTACCTACGTTTAACTGTTGACTTAATTGTTCGTTTTCTTCACATGTACGAGTGCTCATTTTGCATTTAGTTAATTGCTTGATTTATTTTATGTAAGCCTTTATTTTAATTTAATTTTATTTTATTTTATTTTAGCTTATTTTTACTCTAACCCTGTAGTACTTTACTTTACCACCTTTGTATTGAAACTGTTGCACAGTATTTTCCCTCGGGATAAATAAAGCTTCTTGAATCTTGAATATCTGTCAGATAAATATAATGGACACAGAGTACAAAGAAACAGAAAATGGAAATACTATGGCAAAGGTAAAAATATCTTAAAACTGTATTTAAGTATAGAATTAGAATAAATTCCACCACTGATTATGAATATTAACTATAGCCTACAAAAATATTATCATCTGGTCAGTGCAGGGTAAATGTTAAAGGAACTGGTGAGCAATCTAACTATTTAAAGAAAATATTGGCCTCTACAAATTCAGATGTATAAAATGATAATCAGTCTATTGCAACAGACGTTTGGAGTGACCACAACAATATTTATTTAATCGCCACCAACAGCCCATAGTCTGTTCCTGCACGAATGTACATACATGTGTAATAAAGTAAAGAAAAAAATTGGCAGTCAGGTATTTTTATTTACATGTGGAATTTATTCATAATATCTAGTTGGGGTATTCATTATATTATGAGGTGTATTTCATTTCTAACTTTGTAATTATTCGTGCAATTTTGCTTATTTAATATGTTTAAATTATTCAACAGATTAGGATTCTTTGGCACTTTTAGGTATATTTATTTTCCCCCTATCCTCAATATTTATGGCATTTTTTGTAATTCTAAGGTTTTATTGGTTTAATTCTGTCCTTCACTATGAGCTATAATTAATTATAATTATAATAATGAATAAGTTAGGTCCTTAACTATTTGTTTATTAAACAATAATGAAAAGGACAATAAAAAATGCCAATTTTGATAATTAATTGCACGAGTAAATTATTATTTAAAATATTGTAAATATGCTTGTAACATTCCTTTGGCTGTTCTGACTGTCACACTCTGTTGTAGCTTCCACTACTTATCCAACCAGTCCACTAAAAGCACTTGCTCTGTCACTAACCAGCTGGACATCACTAAAAGTTAATATCACTCTGACATGTCACCTGGATGAAATTTGACGAATACCTTGTAGCTTTGAGCGTTCACCAGCTGATGTGCCTCTGCTAGGCTGCCTGTCTCCTTCAGCTTTTAATGGTGTGGATTTTCAATCTACCCCTGTGTTAAATGATGACAAGTATGTGGACATGTTTGATAAGTAGCGCATTCATTAGCCTAATTAATGACTTCAACTACTCATGTTTAATACATCAGTTTGGACAGTTTGACTACTGTACTACTACTGCACTTTACAATATGGGGAAATATTCTGAGCTTTTCACTATCCATGGAGCATGCAGGGGTTAAGTGCCTTGCTCAAGGACATACTGAGAAAGAGAAGAGACTGAGGGCTAACCTTCGGATTCTACCAGAAAAATGAGCAGAGCATTAAGCCCATATGGACAATGCTGTAGTTTCTGTAAACTGCTTTGTACAGTATCCTCCACATGAGGTCAGGCTGGATCCATCTGCTCTCCATGTCTTCATTATTCAATGGAACCAAGTTAACTGTGAACTCTTGTGATGGATCACAGGACATTTATTCACTATTTAATATTCAGTGCACATGAAAGTGGATTACTTTAAGTACCAACTTTTAGTCTGAAATGTAAAGCAAGATCAGCGAATGCAAATTTCTAAAATTCTCTCTGAATGCATAATAATAACAATATTCATTAGGTCTCAGAAAAGCGGTGTGGCCCATACAATGTAACACTGCTGAAGATTTCTTAATAATTTATATAACATATCTCAGTTATTTCTTATGAAAAGACCGGGCGAAGAAAATCCATCTATAACCTAACCAGGAAAATTGATTCCCTTGTCATTCTGTGTGGTCTGAAATTGCCCAGAGCTATTATGGGAGAGACTGATTTTCTCTGTGCAGTGGAGTGGAACATTTTCTCCTTGTAGAGCTTTTTGCGAGATGTGAACAGATTCATAAGCAACAGCACTGCTAAAGAGGTGTGTTGTCATGTGCTCTCAGCCAGGTATCCTAAACATGTTAAAGTCTATGGAGTCATTTGGCCAGATGTTGCCTCTGATAAAAGGTGCAACTCATATAGCTTATACATATAGTATGTATATAATAGCAAAGTATCTAGTACTCCCTAGTAAACATAGAGTATGTTTGAGCATTTTTCACTTAAAGGTCCAGTGAAAGATGTAAAGTAAATACAAGGTTGACTGCTTTTCTGCCAAAGTGGTTTAGAGCTTAACAGAGAAAGAGGAGGACAATGCTCAGGACATGTGTAAAGATATTAATATATAAAGAAATCATCCACATAACAGGCAACATAAAATAAATAATACCAAAATACAACATTTAATCTGTATTGCATTTTATTGATATACAAATTTAATTACTGTGAGAAAGCATATTAATAAACAATGTTTTACCTAGAGCCTTGGTCACGTCATATGATTTACTAACTAAACAAAGTATGTGGGGTGATTTCAGCAACAAGTGTTCTTATATGGTTTTAAAAGTCATTTTTTGCGAGGTGATATATATAACAATCAATACAGGCTCTCAGTAATTTCAAAGTTTTCTGTGAAATGTGTGTCTGGATGGTTTTACTGTGGAGGCTGGAAATGACTGAGGCTATCAGGGCTTAAAAAATGTATGTTTTGGGGGCATGTGTGCTTGACTGACAGGACCTGAACACTTAGTTGTGGCGGATGCTGCTTGCTCGCTGTACCTCAAGTTCACCATGCTCCACCGAAATATGAATATTTTGGATTATTTTACCTTAATGTTTCATAAAAAAAAAAAAAAAAAGTTCATGTAAGGGTTACAAACATTGAGAACCAGAGGAGAGAGGTTGTGTTTACTGCAGCATTTTCACCTCCATTTTCTGTAGCATAGCCAGAAATGTTGTGGATAAAGATAAATGAAATCTAGTTAAATCAAGTCTGAAATAAGCCTAGAAGTGGTGAGCTCTGTCCTATTTAATATATAAAATATTAAGATATTTATTGTATGCTCTATACCAGTTACACTTTTTAGATCAAAGATGTATTTTCTCACTCCAATAACAAAATGCCAAGGGAGAGTAAACAGAACAGTAGAGGGAAAACAGAGAGCATCTATAATGACTGCTATTGTGACTGACTTGCTAGCCCGGTCACATAGGGAGTTAGTGTTTAGCACAGCATCTACAGCAGTGCACTTACGAGTCTTTTGTCAAGCCCTATTTATTGTTGCTAACTCGACCTCGGAGCACGGAGGAAGAGTGCCAGGCTGAACCATGGAATTACAGAAATGGGATGCACACTGCCCCCCCCCCCATTAAAAAAAAAGAACATTCTTAACATCAGAAAGATTAAAAAACCCAAACAGGAAGAAAATTCTATTTTTCCCACCATCCACACCTTGTCCTAAATATCAGGGTGTCTAATGAATCAAAAAAATCCACTTAGGAAATAGATACAGGCACCCTCTCTATCGCTGCATTGTGCGCCCTCCGGCTAATTTCCCACAGATGAAATGCCTCACTCACCTTACTAACATCAAGATCGTAGGGAAAACAGCAATTCTCTCTGTTTACGGGACATTGAGATGTTAACACACATACTGACTGACTGTACTGTATTGTTGGTGTTTTATTCTCATTGATTGTGAATGTCCTTCTCTTGCATTCTCTTGTCTTGTCCTCTAAAACGGCAGTTGAAAATCAAAGCTTTGAGTTTCCGTATTGTTACTGGAAAAAAAGAAAATCCACCACCAGTTTTGGATAAGCTGCTCCAATTCCTGTTTAAACTCCATTCCAACCATTGTCTGCATCCTGTGTAATATATCAGGGGCCGGAGTCTATTCAAGCATGCATCGGGAAAAAGTACGCCATGGACAAGCCTTTGCCTATCACACACTTAACACACATAGAGACACAAATACAGCTGATGTGCATGTCTTTGGACTTTCAGAGGAAACTGGAGCACCAATGCAGACATGTGGAGAGCCAAAACCTTCTTGCTGTGAGGGGACAATGCTGACACGACTGCACCATCAAATTTTCACTCCCAGCACGTCAAATACAGCGGCTTGGTCCGTGGGCCTATCCTTCAAACTCTTGACGCTGTAGGTGGTCCCTCTCTAGCGTTATTTCTGAAGGGCCCATCTATTGTAATGTTTTGATGTGCTGTTAAAGTCAGGTGGCATAAGACCTATATACTGTCAATGCATAAGACCTTCAAGTTACCAGTGTTGGGCAGTGAGGCATTACTAGTAATAATATTCCCGTAGTGTAACTGATTATTAATACATTCCA